ATAAAATAGCATTATCATTATGTTTTATAAAGAAACTCCAGTTTAGAATACTGAGCATCAGTACCAATGTTTTCATTGTATTCAAACTATGAATTCAAAAATCTTAAAAAGATTTGACAGGAACTTGATGGTCAAATATCTCTACCTAATTTCTAGTGAAAAGTTATCAATCATGATTGGGCTTGTAGCCATATACAATTTGTAAGCAAGATGAGCCTATATATCAGCATATCATTTGTAGTACTTAAAAAAACAGCAATTATTTTCCTTCAACTAGATTAGTAAAAACAAATTGTCTCCAATGTTGTATGTGACCAACAGATGGCAGCACTGATTCACCCAAAGCTATTTAGTATCTGTTCTTTCACTTAAATTGGTGAAGAGTTGTTAGGGTTATTCATGAAATGAAAGCTTGTAATGAGTATTCCTCAGTATGCTAAGCAACCCATTATGAGACTGAAGTTTTAATTGCTCAAGGAATCCCTCCAGTTTGATTCACAATTGAATACAGATAGTTTATGGTGATGACTGTGTTAATGTGATTATTAACATTTGGGTCAACTTGGAAAGAGCTGATTTATGTGAACAAGGACAAGGTGGACTCACTGTTACAGCAACCACCAAATTTCCTATGAGAAAGATTGATGAACTGATAAAAAAAAACTAGTGGGTCACCAAAAGGAAATTGCTATCAAGCTTAGAATTTCACATGGATATGGGTCACATTATCAAGTCCTTTAGATGGGCTCCTTGAATGCTGATAGTAGAAGTGAAAACTTGAAGAACAGAAATTTGCCAGCAATTGTTGTCATACTATGAGAATGAAAACAAGAAATTTCTTTAAAGCATCATATTTGTTGACAACAAAACATGGGTCCATTATTATAATTCAAAAGCAATAGAATATCATCACAAAGCTTCACTGCCAAAATAAAAAATTAAAAAAATTAAAAAGCTACACTTTGGTAGGAAAACTCATGGTTATAATTTTTGGCAATGCAGATGGTGTTATTCATAGATTTTATTGAACTTGACATCACTAACAACTCATTGCTGCATTGCAATCCTCTAAATCTGAAACAATTAGGATCAGAAATACAAAAATGAAATTACAGTGTTGAATTTCATCATCTTATCCTGTTCACTGTGTAGTCCAATCTTGATGCCATGTAATTTTCACCTTTTCCCATAATATGGGTATCTGACTCAAATGAAGAGGTAGAAAGGACTATCAGGAATTGACTGAAGAAACAAAGTATGGGGTTATTTGTGATAGTTTCAAAAAGTTTTCTATCACTGGAATATAATAATTATATGGAGTTAATACAAGCAACAAAAGAGCTCCTTTCAATAATTATTGTGTTTCAATTATTTAAATAATAAAAACCCTAATCCTTTTAAAACTAAAATTATTGAAATGGAGACATTCAACTCTTATAACAAGTAAACTACTTGATAAATCACTGTGGACCATTCCTGCCTCAGCAGTTACAGTCTGGCTCAGACCAGGGCATTTTATGGTTCCTAGACCACATCTGGCCCTTTGGGTATTCCTGTCCAGCTCATAAATTAAAAATTAAATGTAAATAAGTGTATGCCATGCACACAACTGCGTTGCTTTTATTTTGATGGCAATTGCTTTTTTTTCTCTTCAATTTATGTATGTGCTTATCTGCGTGCATCCCTATGCACCTTTATAGCCCTTTTAGTTTGGCCATCCACAACTGTCCCTGTTTCTCATGTGACTCCTTGAGAACATTAATTGCCCACAATGGATCTGGCTCAATGGCTGGACTGGCCTTCTCTAAAATTTGCTTCCAAGGAGACAATGCAAGAACCTCACATTTCTAGTAATTTTCCAATACATTTTTGCCCACTCTTTCTAAACTCTGCAGAGTCACCTAAGTCAGATGCAAAGTGTAGAAATCTGATAAATTAATAAATGGAAATACAATTCTAGCCAGAAGTTTTCACTAATTTCCATTAAACTCTGTGTGTGATGACACAGAGAAAAGAAACATATAAATTGTAGCTGTCAGATTGCTAAATAAGGATCTCATGTTTTGACCTCCTGGCAACCTAACTATATGGAGTTTTGACCATATAGTTTTGCTGCTTCTCATCTATTGCCTTACTCCCTATATCTCTATTTCTCCATCAGATAACTTATATTTATTTTTGAGCTAAAATCAAATAAAACTATGTACCAGTCAACAAAGCAAAGAATCTTTTTCTTGTAATGTCTTGTTTTTCATATTATATAATTTATATTAGGTATCTTATGCTTCATTGACTTTTCTAAAAGCTGCCAGTTCATTTGGCATTACTTTTTCCAAGTGTGAATCTCCACAACTTTGTATTATCAAGCATAATAAAAAGCATAAATTTATTTACACAAATAATGAATGAAATTGTTTAATAATTTATACATTTCCCCGCATCTCACTTTTTTGGTACAAATATATAAACTGAACTACATGCCTGACTGTATTTCAGTCTTCTTTCATATTTGTTGACATAGAGCTGTTAACTTCCTCTTTGCTTATAATAACTCAATGGGTATTTCATCCCCATTTGGTGATTAAATATCCTATTTGACAGCTAAAGAACTTTACCCAAATGAGGATTGGATAAGATATCCCAAGAAGTAGATCAATAGGCACATAGATGAGCATAATAGATGTGCACGGGATATCCATTAATTCTAACATACTATCCCATCATTAATGGATTATAGCCAATTACTGCCACATACTATACTGAATAATGTCCTTTTTGAGCATTATTGTTATGCCATGCCATGTGCTGAATAGTAAATCCTGGTGCATGAGCTGACATATGCCGAAAATTTAATTTCTACTTTGACAATTTCAAGATTTCTTTTTCACACTTTTTATATTTTATGTTCCTCTTTCAAACCTGGCAGCATTGGTGATTGCATTACTTTGTATCTGGCCATATAATTACCTCCAGATCTACTTACACAAGTTTCCAAATAACTAGAGAAGTGCTTTAACTCAAGCCAAATACAGGCTGTCTTTGGTAGCAATATAGAAATAATGTGCTATTTTCTTTCAAATGGAAAAGGATCATTAGGTGGATTGATTTCCCTCATGCTCCCTGAGCCACTTCTTGGATGAATAGATTTTTAGGAAATCAGGATTTGTGAGAATTGCATGGGTAGGTAATTTTACTGTAGATGCTAGGCAGACCTAATTATGTAAAAAAACAAACAAACCAAAAATCCAGTTCCTACAGAATTGAAAGATCTGAATATGCTGAGATTTAAATCCCAAGATATTTTTCTTTCCTATCACCTTGTTGTAATGGACTGTTTGCAGTCTATTTGGTTGCTGAGAGCACACACTGTTCTCAGGCATTGTATTTTCTCAATGGCAGCTCCTGCCCTTATTTGGGTAGATGGAACTCCAGCTGCCCTTATGGATTCCTGTTAACCTCAGTCCTCCCCTTTGATTTTAGTGATGATAATCACCTTACAAGGAGTTCCTGCTCCCATACAGTTCTAAAGCTGTGGTGGGATTCAGCCAGTTCACACCACTTTGGCAGAACCGATAGCTAATTTTTTATTGCCCAAGCCCAGAATGGACTTCCGGAAGTGGCATCCACACAGAGAGAATCAGTTGTTCACATATTTGAATCCCACCACTGTTCTAAAGTCAATGAAACTATTGAGCCTTCCTGTCATCAAAGTAATGATGTGTTTTTATTAACATCGTCCCAGTTTGCAGCAAACTGCCATTTGTTTTTGGCCGGGGTTACACAATACCTTGAACAACCAATTAGTCAGCCATAATTTTGCCTAGCATGCCATACATCAGGCAAATCAGAAAGCTGGCTTGAATAAATCATGGTTACAAACAAATCGATACAGATCTGCTCTGTGAATCTTAGTAATTCCAGACTATGCCCCACAGTAGATTTTACAGCAGTAATAAAAAAATAGAAAGGAGCACTAACATAAAATGGTTGTTTTTCTGAAGATCGAATAAAGTGTAGAGGAAGAGACTCTCGTTACTATGACACCAGGGACGCTTTCGGCTTTCCTGTTCTCGCAAGAATTGGCAATCCCGCGAGAAGAGACGAGGAGGAGTAAGCTCTCAATAGCTCCCGGTCCCATCCTATGCAATCAAACTCGCGCTTTCACTAAAAGTTCCTCCTTGCCGGGTTACTCTTCTCCGAAAGCCAATGAGAGTTTGGCACAGTATTGTATCGCAGTACTGGGATTAAATCAGTGACCCACATCGCCCAATTTCATATTCGCAGCGGGCTGCTAACTGCCTACCAACGCTATACATTGCCTTGCGCACAAGCATTTTCCTAAAAAAAGTGGTTTTTCGCAGTTTCCGACATCCCTTCGCATTCTAGCAATCCCCTAAATGCCTTGGCCTCCATTCCCATACTTCCAGCAATGCTAACGGCTGACGATCCTGGGTAGAGAAGCCGGCCGATGCAATCCAAAGCAACTGGAGTGTTGGAGACAGAGGCTGTCCTGGTAAATCGACAGCCTTGCCAAAGACTCGATTCTCTGCAACCTAGCTTGCCAGGTGGCTGGGCCACTCCAGCGACATAAGTAAGTATCTCGCAATTGTGGGGATATCAACGCAGGCTAAAAGACCAAACCAAAAAGAACAGCGTGTGTGGCTGGAAGGCAGCTCCAAGACTCTCCATCCCTGGTTCATTCTCCAAGGGTCGAGAATAAGCGTTTATTCTGCCCCCTCTCCCCTTGCGGCTCTGATTTCCCCGCTCGCCCTTTGCCTTCACTTGGGGGGGGGCGAGCTTGCGAAGCGATGAGGCGGCCGACCCGAAAACGCCACCTCCGCCACCGATGTATCTTCCGCTTGCGCGCAACGGGCGAAGAAACCAGCCCGGGCGCTGAGGTCGCGTCGGCTGCCGCAAGGGTTGCCGGTCCATAGGCTTGCGGGCGGGCGGTCCGGAGCCCGGACGTAAGATGGCGGCGGCGTTGACGGGGGTGTGGAGGAGGAGGAGGAGGGGAAGACGGAGGACGGGGGGGTGGCTCTTGTGGCTGTCGCGAGGCTCGGGCTGTGGAGACGGCGGGCAGTTGTGCCCGAGCTCGCAGGACGGGTAGAGGGAACAGGGCTCGGGGCTGGCAGGACCCGGGCTGGGGCCAGGCCGCCATGGGCTCCCAGTTGCTGCAGATCCTGCGCCAGGGCGTGTGGGCGGCTTTGAGCGGCGGCTGGTACCAAGACCCGCACCAGGGCGCCGGGGTCAACGCGTTGCACCTCTACCTGTGGCTCTTCCTGCTTGGCTTCCCTTTCACGTTATACATGGTGAGTGAGGGAGCCGGCCTGACACATTCCCCCCAGCCGGGAGAGAAGGAGGGGAAGGGGGCTTTTCGGGCTTCAGCCTCGCCTTCAGGTTGGGGGGGCTACTGCCTTTGCCACGCGCGGAGCGTTCCCAGTCAGGTTGGGCTGGAGAGCCGCCTGGAGACTACCGTCTCCGCTCTCCCGCTGCTGCTTTTTACTCTATTTTGGAGGCGGAGGGCGTCGGAATAAAGGGCCGTTGCCTGCTTGTTCAGGTTAAACGCTAAGCTATTAAACTTGGGAAGAAAAGGAGTCCAAAACCGACCTCGGCTACTTAAAAACACAAATACAAAAAGGTTCTAGTGGTGTGACCTCTCTCCTGTCGTTTAAAGCGGATCCGTGGCTTTTTTTGGCCTCCTCGTACGCTATGGATTCCCCCCCCCCCCACACACACAGGAAATGCTTTGTGTGGAAACCAATGTTCCTTTTTCATGTAAAGCTGAATGGGGGGCAATCTTACACGTGGGATGTTTTGATGAGAGTCCGTGTCCTCCAAATCCAGGATTGGCTGCAGCTTGTCAACATATACAGTTGTTGAGTGTGTAGTTGTGAAGGACCAATGATAAATAACTAAGGCTTAGGCGGGAGTAGGTCCCAAAGTACTGAAACAACAGCTGGGGAGGGAGGGAAGTGTTGGTGCTAATGTTTCCCAATTGGACATGCATCCCTGTCTGTAGTGAGATAAGTAATGCTCTCTCTTTTTTTTAGTAGAAATCCTATAGCTGGAGGTGCAATTAAATGATCGTCAGACACTTTCCCAGTGCTTATTTTATTTTTATTGATGCTGATGTATAATGTTAATTTAATATTGTCTTGATTGGAGGGATGACAGAAGGCCACGTATTTGAGGTTTGCTTGAATTATATATTTCCATAAAAACTTGAAGTCTTTGTGTGTACTGATTCAGAAAGCATACACCGTGGATGACAAACTGCACAACTTCGATAGACTACAGCATATATTTCTACTACAGTATGGTTTAAGCTACATTTGTGTTCCGTGGATTAATAAATGAGCTGATGAAGAGAGATAATGAGATTCTTTCTCTTGCTGTAAACAAATAAAATCACTGTAACTTAAGCCCAGCCAGGTCATGTTATGGGAAAGCTACGAAATATTTCTTAGAATCACTTTTTAAATATTTTTTCTATGCATTTATTGCAATATCACTGATATTGGCCTGCTGAAATCTAGATGTTGGTAGCCATAAACTGCTAATGGCATAAACAATTATACAAATACTTTTGATAATTTGATTTCAGAAATGAATAATGAGCTGAAGAATTAATAGAACAGAATTGGGAAATGAATACTATAAATACTATTCCTGTCTCATTCCCCTTACCAAATTCAGTTCTGTCTAATGTAGGGGAAACTTTTTTTGTGAGTATGGTGTTGCCATGACAACCAGACATTGCACTTTATTCCTTGGAAATTCTAGTAAACATTAAATATCAGGGAAAAGCTGACTTGTGAAATATTTATGTTGTTCATCAAATAAGACACTAGAGAGAATTGTGCATGAGGTTGCAACTAGAAGAATAAAATGAGGAGGGCACACTACACAAACATCTTACAGTACTTTCTTGAAATTTCTTCCTCTCCAGTCTGTGGGGAGAGGGAGGAAGCAAGTAATTTCTATAGACAATCTCATTTGCTGATTTTTTTTCCTGCACATTGCTTTCAGTATGTAAAAAAGCACTTCTGCACTTGTTCTCTTAAAATCTCACTCCAGTCTCCACTCTGCGATGGGAGGAGGGTGGCTTTGTCTGCTTGGGCCTTCCAGTGGATGAGGTTGCAATGCTCCTCACAGACCAGGTACACAGTCTGGGGGTCCTCTTAGACCTGTGGTTAAGAGGGCTTTTGCACCATTCCTGGACCAGGAAGCTCTGGTCACTATTGCTCGTTCCTTTGTGACTTCCAGTCATAATTTTTGCAATGTGCTGTACATTGGGCCGCCTTTGAAGAGCAGTAAGAAGCTTCAACTGGTACAGAATGCAGTTGCATGGGTAAAAATGGCGTCGGATACTTGGCATATGTAACACCCCTACTTCTTGAGCTGCATTGGTTGCCATTGTGTTTCTAGGTGCAATTTAAGATGTTGGTTGTCACCTTTAAAGTCCTTCATGGCTTGAGACCAGGCTATACAAGGGACCATCTTCTCCCAGTTGTTTTTACCTGTCCAATCTTGTCCAGCAGAATGGGCATGCTTTGAGTCTATTACCCAAGGAATATCTGCTGGCAGGGACTAGGAGAATGCTCTTTTTTCCTGTAGTGCCTATGCTCTGGAATATTGTCACTTAAGATATTTGGATGATCTTGTTGATTTTTCATAAGTGCTTGAAGATCTAGTTATGTGGCTGGGCTAGGGTCCTGAGTTTCTTAAGGTTCCCATTTCCTGGTTAAATTATCATTTTCAGTTTATAATTTTCATGGCTGCTGTATGTATTGTATTTATAATTTGGTTTTAATTGATTTTATGAGTGTTTGCTGTGCAGAATCAGTTGTTTGAGATGGGCAGCCGTATAAATTGAATAAATAAAGGAAAATGCATCTTTTCTTACAAACTTGCTATTTTTTTAATTTAGGCAAACTGTTCCTTCTATCAGCCAGGATAAATGAGGCATGAACTTTTTGACTCAGTACCTGAAGGTGATTGGCATCTGGATAGAGAGGTACACAGAATCTAGGAATGAGTGGCTGAGGGTATGAAGACCTTCAGAATCCAGAGATGGTTTATGTATAGGATGGGGTCATGACTCCCCATACTTAGCAGCTTTGTAATCTGATGGTTTTCTTGGATGTTGGGTTCAGCTTGAACAGCAACCATGGCTAGGAAACCTTTGTACATATATATTTTGTGTGTCTGTTGTGGTTTTCCCTGGATTAGAAGGCTTTATACATAAGCACCAGTGCCCCCAACTGGTTCGATATGCACTAATATGAATAGCAATGGATGCACCTACAGTTGCCCACATAACATCTCTATTCTAGGAACTGTACAGGTAGTCCTTGACTTACATCCCCAATTGAGCCTAAAGTTTATGTTGCTCAGTGAGACATCTGTTAAGGGAGTTTTGCCTCATTTTATGACCTTTCTTGTCATAGCTGTTAAGTGAATTACTGCAGTTGTTTGTAACACAGTTGTTACATGAATCTGGGTTCACCATTAACTTTGCTTGTCAGAAGATCACAAAAGGTGATTATATGACCGCAGGACACTGCAGCAATCACAAATATGAGTCAGTTGCCAGGTGTCTGAATGTTGATCCTGAGACATGAGGTGCTGCAATGGTCATGTGAAAATGATCATAACTCACTTTTTTCAGGGCCGTTGTAATTTTGAATGATCACTAAACAAACCGTTGTAAATTGAGGATTACCTGCATTGGTTGCTACTCAGTTTTAGGTGAAATTCAAGTTGCTAGTTATGAACTTTAAAGCTTTATATGGCTCAGAACGTGGTTATCTTCAAGATCATCTGCTTCATACTGAATTTAGCCATAAAATTAGGGAAGGAAATTCTGGTAAGGTCCTCTCCTCAAGGGAGTCCTGTTTGTAGTACACCATACTTAAGTCTTCCCAGTGTTGACTTCCCTCCCATGGGACAGCTTGCCTGATGAATTTTTGTAGGAATATGAAACCCCATTCTGAGATGTATTTGAGCTTTCATTATGCTAAGTTTCGGCTACCATTATGCTTGTTGTGATTTTGTTGTTTTTCATATATTTTTTTAACTTTGTATAAAGCTCAGAGCTGTACATGTGTACAGAAATATCAGTATCAAACTTGTAGGGAATTACATTATCTTTGCTTATCAAACTTGTACTTAAGACACAAGTCAAAGAATTATTTTACCACTGAGGCTTACAGGAAGGATATGGAATTATGAGCTCTGTTCTGTCAGGTGAAAAGCATAAAGGACAATAAAATTGAATAACTTTTCAGAACTATGACTTTTGTCTTAAGGTAGTCATACATATAATTCTTTGTAATATCTGCTTCTTAATACAAAAGCAAAAAGATGATAAATAGATCTTCAGGGAAGGAAATAATTCTTGGATAGGCTTGAATTAACTGGAAAGGCCAACAATCTTAATCCTGTAGTGAACATAGGTTGGATAGTCACACCTCAAATCACAATTGACTCTTTATGAATTGCACATTTTGCCATGGGTAAAAGGTTTATATACTAAATAGTATTGTGGTTATCCCATTCTTTGGTTTCAAAGTACTATTTATTCCAAGCTTTCTGACTTTGGACCAGTAGAACAATTACACATAATAACAATATTTATTTAGAGTTTGGGGAAAGAGACTATTTTAGGATGTGGCTTTTAACTATGCACAGGAGTAATTAACTTCAAAATTATGAATTAAATTTAATGCAGTGATACCTTGGTACTCATCATTAACTGGTTCCATGAGGTGTGCTGAGTACCAAAAATGATGAGTACCAAAAACTTTTTCCCATAAGAAATAATGTAATGGTTACAAGAAAACCAACATTGTAACAAAACAATGATGAGTATAGGAACAAAATTTTCCATGTGTTGAGTACCAAATTCAATGAGGTTCAAAGCAATTGAGTACCAAAATACCGCTGTACTTTGTTCAAATATTAGCCATCTATTATGGCATACATTTTGATTGATGAATGTATTGATGAATGTAGTTACCTATAACCTGGGGCCAAAGCTTGGTTATAAAACTTTTTCACTCTATCAAATAGTGCAGTGGTTCTCAACCTGTGGGTTGAGACCCCATTTGGGGTCGAACGACCATTTCACGGGGGTCACCAAACAACGCAGTCCGCCATTTTTTCCCCCTTTTCCTTAGCTGTGCTACTCCCTTTTATTCTATTGGCTTTTGAAAGCCAATAGAATAGACTCTCTTGAATAGAGTCTAATTCTATTGGCTTTCCAAAGCCAATAGGAATTGTCCAGGCTGTCTCTGCCCTGCTGAGC